TTTGTCTGCCAAGGTCATGAGTGTTGAAACTTTGGCCAATTTCTCCGGGCATATCAAGCATGCCCATACTATGACCTTTACTGGGTTGGGCTGTGGCTAGCTTGGACGATCCAACCTATTTTTTGTGGATTTGATATAGTTGTTACTCGTTGAAAAGAATATGTGCAACACAATAAAAAAAAAAAGATTGGGCCTAATTAGATCAATGGAACCTGTTTTACGAACTAAAAGGCCCAATAATACCAATCTTTTGGAGGATCTTTTGTGTAAATAGCAGTTAATGCCTAATGGGGACGAAAAGGGATTTGTACTCTTATGTATACTAGTCAATTTCTTATTGCATGACAATTGACACCGACTAAATGAAATAAAAAATAGAGTAGTGCTACATGTATAGAAATTCAAATTCGGTACAAGAATTCAAATTCCTGTACCTGCCAGACACACACAGAGCAAGGGTGGGTGGGTGGAGATTTTTGCCAATATTTTAATTCACATGGGACCACCATATGAGAGTGAAATTTGAATTTCTATTTAAATTCTGTTAAACATTTCCTGCACCCACAGCTTTTTTGTAAAAAATATATGTAAAATGAATTCATAAAAAAAGGGACTAACAGCAAATTCAATTAAAGTGATGCGGCAAATTCAATTGACCTCGTATAAAAAATTGAATATCATATAGCTATAAAACCATAATTGAAAGTGTTGTGTTTTGATACCCAATAAATTTCGGACAATGATATTAAATAGTTTAGAATATATTTCATTTTCATCAGCCGATGAGTGAAATAATTATCAATACAATCAATTTATATGCTCGACCCGAAAGCATCGTGAGCTACTAGTAGCAAATTATTTTGTTAATGTTGCCTTGACCCAAAATTCACTTATATGATGTCTTTCTTGTGTCTTGGCCCCTTACGTTGTTTCTTGGCCCAATTGATGATATAACCTAACCTATATATACCCATTTTCATAGTGTTGGAAAATGTGTGCGCGCTTTGTGTTTTGAAGAGAAAATTGTGGTTGCTTACTATCTTCTTCTTTGTTCCTTTTTTCTCTATTGTTTCTCTTTGCCTTTGTGGCTTGCAAATCATGACGTCGGTCAGAATAGTGATTATTCTGCAGGTTGGGTTCAATTGACAAAAACAGAGAAGAACGCAAGAGAAACACAAAGAAAAACGAGAAAATTCTTTATTATTCAACAACTGAATGAAAATAACCCACAAGCCGGGTTAAATAGCCAGAAAATAATAATAATCGGAATTTTGCCAAAAATAGCAAAATCCTAATATT